TTACAATAATAATGGGCCGTTTTAGGAGCCCAAATATAATTCATATTAAATATTATCTATTTTAAGAATTTAATTATTTATTATTATTTAAATAACCAATCCCAAGGCCCACAATTGTTGATGTCTTTTAAGTTTGTTTTTATTTTTCATCTTATGAAAGAAATCATGGAGATCACGGATTTGCTTTCTCAAGTTCTGCAGCGTAAATTTCAAAATATTTTGAATGTCTTAAATCTTATCAAATCAACAAACACTCTCATTCAACAATTCAAAAAAAGTTGACGGGATTCTTTATTTGAAAGGTTAAAATTATTCTGTGACAATAGTAATATAAATGTTCTTGACATATTTGCCACATATGTTGCACAGGGAGAACGTGCTCGTCATCAACAAGATATTATTACTGTTGAGCATTATTATCGAATAGATATTTTCAATGTTGTAATAGATTTTCAATTGCAAGAATTGAATTGTAGGTTTAATGAGAATGCAATGGAACTATTGATTCTTAGTGGTGCCTTAGATTCTAAAAATGAGTGCAAGAGTTTCAATATTGATCATATTTGTGAGCTTGTAAAAAATACTATCCTTAGAATTTTTTAGAGATTGAGAAACTTCATTTGATATCAGAGCTTCAACATTATGAGATTGAAATAAGTTGTGATCAAGGTTTTCAGAATTTCTCAAATATTTTTGAGCTATGTCAATGGTTTGTGGAGACCAAAAAGTCAAAGGTCTACAGTCTCATTTACAAGTTAATTACTTTGATACTTACTCTTCCAATTTCTATGGTAACAACAAAAAGAGCATTTTTCTGTTATGAAAATTGTGAAAACAAAACTTTGCAGCAAAATAGAAGATGAATTATTTTCAAACTCTTTGATTGTTTATATTGAAAAGGAAATAGTTTAGACATTTAGTGTAAATTCTATTATAGATAGATTTCGTTATATGAAAACTTATTAAGTATTATTTTAATTTATAATATAAAAATAAACTTTTAAAATTATAATGTATTATTTTAAAACTTGAAAAACCGGTCCTCTCTCACTAAAATTCTTGGCTTTGTCCCTGGTTTTACTTTTTGGATTTTTGTAATTCGTGTCTTGAAGGCACATAT